GGAGACCCCCGTCTCCCGCCAGCCCGGTGTGGGGTTAGGGGGCAGCTCCCATGACACCCAGGAGGCCCCCGTCTCCCGCCAGCCCAGGGTGGGGTTAGGGGGCAGCTCCCACGGCACCCAGGAGACCCCAGTCTCCCGCCAGCCCGGGGTGGGGTTAGGGGCAGCTCCCATGACCCCTCCTGCCATGGGCCTCACTGACGGCTGCTGCTACCCACTGGGCCTCAGAGGGCAGAGGCCATACCTGCTTCTCCACCACCCTGGAGCAGCCTCAGGGGCCCTTCCTGCCAAAGCCAGGCTCCTCCCTGCCAGTGAGGCAAAACCAGAACCCAGTGTCCCTCTTTATTATCAGCCTCTTGCTCCCTGACCCATGACCAGGAGGCCAGAAAGCCCAGGGCCTTAGTGGGGAAGGGCAGGGACTGACCAGGAGACGTGTCAATCCCAAGATAAAGCCCCCGGAGTTGGTGCCCCTGTCCCCTGGTTCTGCCGCCCGCTGCCCTGCAGCCTCTCTCCATGGGCCTGTTCACTCCAGGCAGTGCCCAGGTCCCCTCCGGGCTCTGCGCCTGGCACCTGGCTCCTCCCCTGGAGAAGGAAGCCCTTTGCAGACCGCGGGCAGCTCTCACGCCCTCTTGGGGAGCAGCAGCTCCTCGATGCCCACCTCTCCAGAGATGCTGCAGCCCCTCTGTCAGTCCCCAGAGGGGGAGGAAGTTGGTGAAGGCCCACGCAGGGCCCAGGAGGCTGTGCCTAGAGTGGACACGGCCGGCCCCAGCCTGGCCCGCACCTGAGGACACCCCAGCCCTGTTCAGCTGTCTCTGGCGGCCCCTGGGCTGGTGTCTAATGCCCAGTAGCACACCTTCCCCAGAACCGGCTCTGTCCTTCCTCCACTGCCCCTCCTCACCACCCAGCACCCTCCTGAGGGCAAAGCTCCCACCCAGGAGCAGATAGGAGCGGAGCGGGCCCCTGCCCCATGCTGCTGAGGAGGGTCTTCCACAAGTGCCTCGTGTGCCCTGAGGCCCTGGAGGCCTCTCTCCACCACCCCAGGCTTGCAGAGTGGACGGGGTCCACTGTGGCTGGGTCTCTCCTGTCCCTCCTCCCACCCTCTCTCCCTCAAGACCACCTTGGTACCTCTCTGACTGGGATGTGGGGAAAGGGCCCCAGGCTCTGTTGTCCAGAAGTGGGAGGGAGGGGGTTGGTGCCCATCAGCCGGGTGGGCCCTGAGGAGGGCCTGGGGAGCGCCTGCCTCCAGGCTCAGGCCCGATGAATGCCCCCCACCAGGTGCGGTGCGAGCTGAAGAGGAGGTGGCCAGGCCTAGGCCTGCACCCGCCCCAACCCAGTGGCCGGGACTACCGGCTCCACAGCTGGTCCATCTCCCGGAACGGCTCAGAGAGCGCCCTGCAGACCCACCGGGGTTCCCGCACCCAGTCCTTCCTGCAGACGGAGACCTCGGTTCTCTAGCCAGGCCCCTCACTGCAGAGCAGGCAGAGCTGCGGGCTGCGGGCCCCCCGTGGGTGAGCTGCTTCCTCCCGCCCCACCAGGGAGGCGCCCATCGATCCCAGGCTGACCTGATCCTGGGTGGGACGGGCCACGCGGTGGACAGGGACCACTCTGCTCAGAACCTGCAGCTACACAGGCAGATCCATTTCAGAGGGAGACACGGTGAGCCCCAGACACAAAGCCTAGGCGCAGAGGAGGGGCTTCTCCCTCCCTGCTGCCCCCTGCACTGGCCAGGCCTGTCCCAGGCGGGGAGCTGCCCTGGACACAGCCACCCTAGCATCAGCCCCATCCACAGCCTCCACCCTCTCCTGGCCCCACAGGATGCTGAACCAGCAGCCAGGTCAGAGCTCCTGTGAAATTCCTCCTTAAACCAGGGCAGACGGGGAAATGAGCCAGCCCTCCCTGCACTCTTCTGGTCCCCAGGACTGTCCTCTCTGGCCTCTGGGGGGGCATTTGCATTTCAGTGGCCTCCTGGGCAGCTCAAGCACCTCCCACAGGCGGCCAGAGCCCTGCCATCTGCCCCAGGGCTGAGGGATCTACTGGGGGCAACAGCAACCCTGTTCTCTGCTTAATGAAAATAATCTTAAAATTACTTCTGTTTAAATGGAGACTCCTTTAAGGGAAGATAAAGTGTATCAGGCACTCCTAGCCAATGTTTGCAAATGGTTCTTGCTTTCTGTTCCTTTGACTATTTGCAGGGTGGAGAGGCAGGGCTGGGAGTCCCTGAGGTGGCCACAGAGTACCTACATCCTGGGGGTGAGGGAGCAGGACACAGCCAGTCCCCTGCCCATCGCTCATCCCCAACACCCACAGACCCACAGATGGCCAGCCCAGGGCAGTGCATGTGCCAGGGCACACTCTGCCACGTGCTCCCCCTCAGAGAGGCAGCACAATCTGCTGTAGCTGCAGGGGTCCTGTAGCTCCAGGCAGGCCGGGAGGCCCACACCGTGACAGCCCTGCCAGGCTGGACCAGGTGGGACAAGGAGGCGGGAGGTGACGCCCACTCCCCATCCCGCAGAAGAGAGAATGAAGGGCAGCAGAGCAGCCAGAGCCGGCCCAGGCCCCATCCCAGGCCCCCATCCTGCACACCCAGTGCTGGCCCCACCCTGTCTACCAGGACCGTCCCTGGACTCCCGTCCAGCCCGCCAGAGGCCATCCCCCAGTGTGGAGTGGTGGTGCAGGCTCAGAGGACAGAGACCTCCAGCCTCCACAGCTAGGGGGCAGGAGTGTGGAGAGCCCTGGCCTAAGCCAGGGACCTGCCCGGGTCGTGGACGGTGGCCGCAGGGCAAGGAGAGTAAGCTGTGCGTGCTGCAGACCATAGGACCAGTCCCGCCAGCCTGGACCCCCACTTCAGCAGCTCTGAGGACACCAACTGGGACTGCAGATGTGCTGCCGATGGCCCATGTGGACATCAAACTGCACCCGAACAGACACTGAGGGCCTGGGCAGGCAGGTGTGGGTCACTGGTGATCATGGGCCAGGCCCAGGGCACTGAGATGCACACAGGGGTGTGTCCCCTCAGCCCAGCACCTGCCCAAACCAAAAGGGCGAAATGGCCTCTCTGGAGGGAGAGGGGCTGCGGACAGTGTTCTGACAGAACCGAGGAGGAACGGGGGCTGACCGCGGTGCCCGCAGTGCTTGAGCCACCATGGACTCCACCTTGTGTGGAAATTAGTTCTGAGATACTGCAGTAAACCTGTGTCCACCCTGGGTCAGGACCTGCTGTGACTCCAGCAGAGTCCTGCTGGCCACGGGGTACCTGCGAGGACCTCGGGAGCAGCCACACTCCCTGGAGACAACGCCTGAGCCGCCAGCACACCCTGACCGCAGGAGGGGGGTCTRAGAGCTGGGAAGGTACCAGAAGCCCTGGCAAGTGGACACACCCGCCCTCCTCTGCCCGAGCTCCGGCTCACTGTCCCACAGCTGGACACCAGAGAACCTGCCACCCAGAGAAGACTGTGTGTGTGTGTGGGGGGGGGGGGGGTTCTGCGTGTGCACAGTGGTGTGCAAGCATACGTGTGTGCTGGGGTGTGGGTGTGCATACGGAAGTGCACGTGTGTGCAGGTCTGAAGGTGTTCACTTCTACCACAACATGCTACAGGAAGATGGAGYCTACTGCTACTCGTCCAGGGAAAGGTTGAGAGCCCTGGTGAAAAGAGCCCAAGAAAGCAAAGTCAGCAATGAGCAGACACCCAAGACTCTGTGAGAGGAGAGAGGACCAGCTGAGGACCCCAAGGAGGAGAGGAGAACCGCAGARAGAGGACCAGCCCAGGACAGAGGGAGGAGGGGAAGGAGAAAGACAGAGGTCCAGCACAACACTCCAGGGACAAGAGGAGAGGAGGGGAGACAGGACCAGCCCAGGACCCCAGGGAGGACAGGAGGGGAGACAGGACCACCCCAGGACCCCAGGGAGGAGGGGAGGGGAGAGAGGACCAGCCCAGGACCCCAGGGAGGAGGGGAGGGGAGAGAGGACCAGCCCAGKACCCCAGGGAGGAGGGGAGAGAGCAGCAGCAGGTCTCCAGTGACCTGTGCTTGCCACCCTGTGGGTCTGACTGGACGCAGCCATCCCTCTAGCTTAGGGGAGTGCTCGCTGGGAGGTGGAGAGGTACCCGCCCTTTGGTGGGGCAGAGGGACTTGAGCTTGGCCCGCTCCTTGGGTGGGCTCTTTCTCAGCAGAAACAGCCCTGTTTAAATCAGGAAATCAAGTGAGTTCTCTCCTGTGGAAGCTAGAGAGGAAGAAGGGAAGGTATCTGGCATCTCCTGAAACAGAGGCAGGTCCCCTGCGCTGGGTGGCGGGTTGAGGTGCCTGTGTCAGGCGTGACGTCACCGTCCAGTCGTGCAGTCACAGGCCTCTGGCTGCAGGAGAAAGCAGCTCCCTGGTTGTGTTTCCCACGTTTCCAGGTTACAGAAGTGACCAGGAGAGGTGGGGACTCCCGATGTACGAGCACACGTCATGGGGGACGCCACGGGTCCCTCCCCGCCCCAGGAAGAGCTGGTGTGGGCTCCTGTCGCGCTGAGTCCACACAGACCATCTGTCCCTCCGACCCGCGGTGGCTTTGGTGGGATGGGGTCATGTGGCAGAGAGGCCCCACCACCTGCTCTCTCCAGTGGAGGAGGGAGTGGGAGTGGTCACCTGAGCACACAGCACTGTGTCACTTTATTTCTTTTTTAAACTTTTTTGTGAGGGTCTTGCTAAGTTGCCCAGGCTGGTCTCCAGACCGAGACCCTCCTGCCTCGGCCTCCTGTGGCTGGGAGGACAGGCCTGCCACACCACGCCCAGCTCAGAGCTGCCACATCCTGCGCGTGGGCATGGCCAGGAGTGTCTGGTGGCTTTCTGTGGAACGCTGGAGTTGTGGCTGTGCCCAGGACAAGCTGCTGAGGGTGGGGACGTGGGCTGAAGGATGTGTCACTGGCCGGTGTCTGCCCCAGGCAGGGTGGCGCGGTCGCTCTCCAGCCACGCTGAAGGCACCACGCTGAAGGCACCACGCGCACCAGTCCAGGCAGGGTTCTCCTCTGGGCGATGCCCAGGACACAGCCCCCTTTGAGAGGTGTGTCTTTATTCACAAAACGGTGAGCAGCTGGTCTTTGGGAGGGTTTCTAACTGTGGTTTGCAGCCCAGCCTCGGCCTGACCCACTAACACCTGCCCAACGGCAGCCCCTGCTGCTCRGGCGCCAAGTCCCCCGCCATTTACAGATTAACTCCTTTATTCTTGGGAAACGGGGACAGCTCAGGAATCTGCCGCTCGGGGCGGGGGCAGGAGTGCTGGGCTGTGTGGTCCCAGTGTTGCCTGAGAGCAGCAAAGCAGCGTGGGCACGTGGGCTACAAAGGATTTAGGGCATCCTTTATGCAGACGGGAAGAAAAGGGACCGGCTTCCTTTGTGCTCTCCAGGGACTAGCCAGGAAAGTGGGGCAGGTGGCCGCGGTCGGCAGGGGGTCTCCCGCTCAGGAAAACAGTCCCCCCTCCACCCACCCAGGATGTCACATGGACCCTGCCACTCGTCCTCGGCAGGACACTCACCCCGCAGGGCCACGGCTGGACCTCTGCTGAARCTGCTTCTGTTCACCTGGAACTGAAGTGCCAGAGGCGAAGGACGGCGGAGCAGGAAGGCCAGGGGGCGAGCCGCCTCCCGCGAAGGTGGCACCTGAGGGTCTAAGACGTCAGCAGGGAGTCCAGTGCCCTTGGTCCCACAGCTATCGTGGTTCCAGTGACAAAACCCGTAGAAGTCCTGATTTCCAAATGATAAAGGAGACCCCACAGTCTCAGATCCAAACACACACTGCAGTAAGACCCCACCGAGGTCCCCGGGGCACAGCAGTTCTTTCCCCCAACTCCAACCACAGCAGTGACCACCTCGGGGGCAGGAGCTGGAGGTGACCAGGTCTGGGGTTTGTGTTTGGGAGGCATGGGGTCGGCCCTCCTGGCCCTGCTCCCCTCTGCAGTGTCCAGCAGATAGCTCCGGGAAGAATCCAGGGAAAAGAGGACAGCAGGAGAGGAGAGGCGCTTCCCCAGGACACGGCCAGCAGGGGCAGCCGAGCAGCCCAGGATGTGCACAGCAGCTGCCCCGGGCAGGGAGAAGGGCACAGGGCTGCCCAAGCCTGGAGCTGCGCCGGCCCCCACCCTGACAACACCCGAGGGGAGAGCTGGCAGGAAGGGAGGCTCCCTCGGGCTCCACCTGGTCACAGCTCCCCTGGGCCCAAACGAGGGCGAGGTGGGCAGCGGCTCAGCTGACAGGGGCTGGGAAGCCGAGAAAGGAAGGAGCCGGGGCCAACTGAGTTTTCCGGCCCGCCACTAGGGTTCCACCACTTCCCCCAGCGCCATGATTCTGGATCCATCGTGAATTGATCCAACAGTGAGGCTGGGCCCTCGTGGCCAGTCACCTCCCCAGGGACTCAACAAGGCTGCCCTGGGACCTTCCATTCATGAGCACTGACATCCCAGATCCAAAGTGGACAGACCACCT